AGGTTTTAAATTCTTTTGCAGAGGCAGGGTCTTGCTATGTTGCCCAGGCTGGTTTTGAACTCCTGGACCCAAGTGATCCTCCTGCCTCGGCCTCCAAAAGTGCTGGGATTATAGGTGTAAGCCACTGTGACTGGCTGATGGGTAAGATGGAACAGGGGGTTTACTGAGGGGATAGGACCTGCTTATAGCACAGTGAAGGTCATACGGGTCTTGGGGCCCAAAGAGAATTCAGAAATGGGACCCTGAGGACCAGCCAGGCCCCAAGAAGGTGACAGGAAAGGAAGGTAAGACCTGGCAAAGTAGCTGACTATTTCCCTGAATGTGTGATTGGCTAAATCTTGGAACTGGGAAAGTTTTTTTCTGTGCTTTTCTGAGTTCAACTTTTGGGTGCCCACGCCTTGCTTTGAAAAGGTTTGGTCTGTGAACCTAGACATCTTTCAGTAATGATTTAAGTTACTCAGAAAACTGGGGGCCCTGGAGTGAAAGGAAGAGACGAAAGGGAAAGAAATCCATGCAGCAGTCTTGCTCTGTTTGATCTGGCAGACAGTGGGTGATAATGGAAAAATGCTGGAGATGGAGGTGGAGGGTGGTTGGATTCCACCATCCTGAGCAACGTCTGCTGTTTGGACTTGCAGACTTCAAACACGGCTGGGGGATTCCTGGAAGACAAAAGAATTCAGGGCCGGGGCTTGGATCTCAGTCAAAAATAACTTACGTCTTCATCTCAGGTAGGCAAACAGCGGTAGCTCAGGGCCGGTTTCTCAGAAGATTGGAGCTACAGGTGGGGACAGGGTGCCACGAAGGTCAGTTTAGGTTTAAGTTGGCTGCAGAGAGAGAAAGGGCTCAGAGAGTGTGGGTCTGACCGAGGGAGATGTCAGAACGAACCCCAAGTGAAAGAGGTTCTGGAGAAAAAGTCAGCCCTGTTTACCCCCCTTCTGGGCACTGCCATTGCTTTGAGCAATAATTACAGCCCTTCATGTTTCTTCCCTGGCTTCTCATTAGCTCAAGGTGTCCACAAACTGCTCAGCCCCCTTTGCCTTCCTCTCCCTGCTTCCAGCAGCTACTCCTGGCTTTTCTGTGGCAGCCGATGTCCCAGCTCCCAGGACCAGAACATCGGGTCCTTAAAAAACCTCCTTTCTCTCTTGGAGAGCGCATTCGAGAGACTCAGCCCCCAAAAGGCTCTTTCCTGTCTTCTCCAAATTATCCCACCGGACTGTCATTAGAGGATGACCTCATTTTCCCCCAGGAGGCCAGGGCCTGGGTCTCATCCCCTTTGTATTCTCAGCACCTCGGCCAGGGTCTGGCACATAATGGACACTCAGCACGTGTGAGCTGAATGGCACTGCTGAGCTGTCGCCAACTTAATCTTCCTAAAACGCTGCTCCAGTTAGAAGCCATCACTGCTTCTCTATCTCCCACTGGGCAAGGTCCAACCTCCTCAGACCGGCACTCAGGGACTCTGGCGACACAGTGCTCCTCGCCTGCTCGGCCATCCTCACTTTGTGCTCAGCCACTTCATGGTTCCCAACATAGTCAACAGCTTTCCTATCTCTGTCTTTGCCTCAGCGGTTCCCTTTACCTAGAAACCCTTCCACACTCTCTACCACAAGCTTGCCCTCTTTCAAGGCTCATCTCAACATCATGCTCCTGCCCTTCTAAACTGAGTTTGAGCCACCCTTCCCCAGCCCTTTATCCTGCTCTGCGTTGATTTCGAGTGTCTTGTTAGGAACCTTAAAAGAGGCCATGGTGTGGCGCCCTTACAAAATGAAGAGCAGAGAAGTGCCAATAGGCCCAGTCTGGTGTCACTTCTCATTAGCGCCAAGGGTTTTTCCAGGGTGGGACCTGTGCATGGCACACCTCCAGGCATCGATGAGTGCCTGCCCGCTGCAGCTGGTCAGTGAAAGTGACACCATGCTTATTCCCTCCTCTGCTCCCAAAACGCTGCAGAATATGCCAGTCCTTAGGCTATCTCAGGTGAGAGTAGAACAAAAGGTGTCAGGGAGCCCAGCCACTCCTATCCTCTGGAGCTTTCTAGGCCTGGGCCCCAGGCCCCATATCCTACTGCCTGCTGGGGACTGGGTTGCAGATTCACCTGGGGCTGAGGGGCAGAGTGGCCTGACCAGCTGGGCGTAGGTGACATTGAGGACAACAGGTGAAGGGTGGCCTCAGGTTCATGGAGGATGATGGATGTAACAACTTGTCCTAACAGTCTCCAAGTCCAGACACCCATCACCTCCCAGTAAGGGCCAAGGTGAGGGAAGCCGCCCCGTGAAGCAAGAATCCTGGTGAGCGATCAGGAATTCCTTCTTAGGAGACTTTTGGGAACTCACTCTGCCAAGGCAGGGTAAATGTTCCTAGGGGCAGAAGGAGGAACAGGATAGCCTTCCGGATGTTTCCCATCTTCCCTCTCCCTTTTATTCTAACTGCTACTGACCTTGTGACCGCTTCCTTGAGACGACAGCACCTGTCATGTCCCTCTGTTCAGGCCAGCCTCCCTCCTGTCCAGACTGTACACTACAGCCAGAGGGATTTTAAATATTACTCTCCTGCTCACAATCCTTCAATGGCTCCCCATTGCCCTTAGGTAAAGTCCAAGCTCTTTTCCCATGAAACTCACAGCCCTTCACAACCTTCCCGTCCAGGCTCGGCTCTTTAGACTGGTCATCGCGCTCCGGTTTCCAGTCATGCCAAACCACTTGTCGTTTGCCTCCCACAGGATGCTGCTCCACAAGCCTGGCCGTGCTGTCCCTCTACCTGGAACACCTCCTTCACCTTTTCCACGCTGCCTAGTTCTGGAGGCTTATCCTTTGGGAAGCCTTCCCGGACCCACAGGGACCCCCTCCTTCGGAGTTCTACACCCTCTGGGCTTCCCTTGAATCCAGGACTCACCCTTGCGTTGAATGTGACTGTCACCCCCAATTATCCATTTCTAGAGGGCAGGGTCTGGGTCTTATCCACCTCTGTATTCTCAAAGCCCTGTCATTGGTACTTAGTAGGAGCTTAATACATGTTCAGGAACAGAACTGAGCCTGCTAAGCTCCCTTCCCCATGAAGGGATGATAGAGTTGGATACGTTGATAAGAGCTGTCCCTGGGCTGATGAAGAGGCAGCTCCCATGGGTAGCTGGTATCAGAACACTGTCCAGGGCGGCTGGGCATCCCAGCAGAGTGGCCAACCCTTTTCTGTGCCCTTCTCCTTCCAGCTCCCCTGGAACCAGGCTTCCTGGCCCACTTCTCTAGTCCCAGAGATCTAAGTATAACAGAGCCAACACCCATTCAGGCCATGCAAATGACAGCAAGCGGTGCAGGAGGCACAGGCCCCAGGGCCCCAGCAGTCACTTGTCCTTCTGGGCTCCTCTCCACGAAGAAATCAGCCTCTCTTCTGTCCCCTGAAGGCTGTTTTCAAAATCACACCCCATGCAGACAGTTTTATTTACAAGAAAATCTTGGCAGGATCTTGACTTGTTAGTAGAGTAGGGATGGGGAGGAGGGTGGTGAGAAACAAAAATAGTTGAAATGATCACACTTTCTGAAACAGAGACGAACATTGGTGTCTGTAGCAAACTCACCTAATTAGAATCAAGTTAATTCCCTTCTCGGTGTTTAAGGGGAGCAGTCATTGCTGGGTGAGATGGTCACAGATCGGATCCTGGGCACAGGGTTATGTGCTCGCTTTCTGAAGACGACTGCATTAATTGCAGCTCTCGCTAATGGAAAGGAGCCTGCTTCGTTTCCGAGAGGAAGGAAGAGGGCAAGGACTAGTGAGTGAGTGGGTTGTGGGAAGAGGAAAGGAAGAGGAGTGGAAGGGCACAGCCTTGGTGTGGGCTGGGGACTGACTGCGAGATGCCTCTTGGAGAAGCCCCTGAGCCTCTGGGGGAAAGCTGGCCCCTGCTGGTAGGCCACTGGCACCATTTACAGCCAGAGCCTCTGCTTCGGGAGATGGTCTCTCTTGGGGGCGCTTTCCTGAAGGGAAACAGCATCGATTTTTTTCTTTAAAAGATCCCCTACTCCTTTTTGGCTAACTTCCTTTCTGATTGCTTTAGTTTCTTTACCGTCCCTCTCCCCAGATGGGGCACTTCCCTGGGTTTACCTTGGTCCACGTGGTCAAATGAAGCCTGGGCATGGTTACTTAGCTCTGGGTGTAGGAAGGGCAAGATTTAGGCTTTGGGGACCAGGACCCCGCAATCTGACTTCTCCCATTTCTGGGCCTCTCGAGACCTCCCAGAATCTGAGACCGCAGTGAATAGGACGTAAGGATAATGGGGCGGGGGAGAAGGGATCCCGTCCTTACAACATCGCGCCCCCAATTCACTCCTAGTTAACCCTGACGTCGCCAACAGAGTGTCTCCATCACATATCTGCCATCTCCAAGTGATGGTTAAGCCGATGGAAGAGCCAAGCCCAGGCCCGGAGTGCAGGCCGGTGGTGACGGGGCCGGGGACGGCGCAGTCCCCATCCCCGCCCCGGGAAGCGCAGCCACTTTCTCGCCAGCCCCGCCGCAGCCCTCCCCCTCCCGGGCCGCGCCGCTCTGACCGACTGGGCCCGGGTGGCGGCGCCCGGGGTGGGGTGCGGGGCGGGGGCCGGCGTTCCCCGCGAGCAGCCCCGCCCCCGCCCGCGCACCGCCCCCGAGGACTCCGCGGGGAGGAGGAGACTCGGGCGCAGAGCGGGGGCCGCGAGAAGCGGGAAGGGAGCGCGGGGAGCGGCGGGGCCGGGGCCGGCCCAAGGGCGCCCTCGCCTCTGAGCCGGGCGCGGGGGCCGGGGCGGAGGCGGAGGCCAGCGGGGCAGCGAGCGCAGAGAAGTTTGGCGGCGGAGGGGCCGGGCGTCCCGGGGTCGCGAGGAGGCGGTGGCGGCGCGGGGACCGGGGCCATGGGGGCGGGCGCGGGCTGCGGGGCGGGCGCGGAGGCGGCGCGGTGCGCACTGAGCCCCCGGAGCGGCGCGGCCGCCGCGGCGCAAAGTTAGCCCGGCGCCCCGGGACGAGCCCCGCAGCCGCCGCCTCCCCCGGACCCCGTCTCGGCCATGGGCGAGCACCCCAGTCCGGGCCCCGCGGTGGCCGCCTGCGCCGAGGCGGAGCGCATCGAGGAGCTGGAACCCGAGGCCGAGGAGCAGCTGCCCGCGGCGCCGGAGGACGTGAGTGCCCCCTCCCCGCCTGGCAAACTTTCTGGGGGCGCCTGGGGGAAAAGCCGCCCCTGTCTCGCCCCACGCCGGGCAACTTGGAGGTTTCAAGGTGACGCGGGAGCGCCCCGGATTGGCCGGGTCCCCGCGGGCAGGAGGGGGCGGAGGGACTGGTTTCCCCGAAACGCGCGCGCACCGCTTCCCTCGCTCTGGTTCCCGCGGCTTCCCTGCGGGACACAGCCCCGCAGCTGCGCCGCGGACCTGTCGCCGCCGGAGCCCCCTCCCCGCCGCTGGTGCAGTGCCGGGGACACGGCGTTTTCCCGCAGAGGCGGCCGCGTCACGGCAGTGACTCCCCCTCCCCTCACGCCCGCGACCTGCGGGCTCCCGGAGCTGAGGAAGGAACCGACGCCGCAGAGTCCCGGTCCCTGGCCGTGCAGGCGGGTCTGGCGACCCCTTCCTCCGCTCCCGGATTAGCTTCCCCCCCGCCCCCGGCACCCGCCTTGTAGCGACTCTGATTGAAATTCAAGCCGGCCCCCTCCTCTGACCCCGGCCGGAGCAGGGAGGGAAAGTGCTGGGAGCGGCTTTGCTCCTAGAAGGAGGCCCGTGAGTCCAAGACCGTGACTGTGCCAGGGGACGGTCCCCTGGGCGAGAAGAGGGAGGGGCTGCCCCAGGGCTTCCCCGCCCTCTCCTGCTCTGGTCTCCATCCCTCCGGTCCTGCGGGCCGGCCCTGGGAAGCCCTGGGAACTGGAGTTTATTGGGTTAACCTCCCGGGGCTAACCTACAAATAGGGGTGAAAAACCGGGCAGACACCCTGCCCTGCTCACCCCCCTCCTCAGGGTGGGGAGATGAAAGTGAAACCAGGCTGCCAACCTACACAACCAAAGCGGGAAAGTCTGAATGGGGTTGGGGGATAATTTACCATCTTCTGTCTTTGGCGTCTGCAGTTAAATCTATCACTTCCTTCTGGCCCTAAATCCCTGGCAGAATCTGATGTAGTCACCTCTTAGACTCAGCCTTGGAAGAGAATGGGTGGGCTTCACCGCATTCGGCATTCACCCCCCACCCGCCCGCTCCCCCCCCCAATAAAAACAAAAAACAAAACAAAAAAAAACTGCAGGCAAAATGTTAGTGTTTATGCAGAGGTGAGTTCTTCTGTGGGGCGAGGGTCTCTAGCCCCCAGCAGGTGAGACCCATTGCGGCAGGGTCTGATGGAATTGCACCTGGCCATGCTCTCCCAGGCCTGGAGTAGCTGTGGACATAAGCTTTAGGCAGCAGAAATTATTAGAGGCTTTTGGACATAGTTGGACGCCTTTATTTAGTAATTGTTGAGAATCACTTGTTCTGCCAGTTCCAGAACCAGCAACACCCACCTTGCCGCCCCCGCCCCCACCCCATCCCTTACTGTGAGCTTCCTCCCTCTGCTCAGTGTGGACTCATTGGGGAGCTCCTCCCAGACTTCCCCTGCTCTCCTGTGGCCAGTCCCTGAGCCTGGTCATGACTCTTGGGCAGCCGCTGGGAGGCTATGTCAGAAACATCCGAGGACTACAGAGACCTTGGTGATAAGTGTGTCTTTCTTTCTCTCCTATTCCTTCTCTCCTGCATGGCCTCCCTCTCTGCCAGCACTGGAAAGTCCTGTTTGATCAGGTATGTGAGCAGTTAACCCCCCACTTCCTTCCAGCCCTCCCTGAAATCGGTCTCAGTCTCCCTGCTTGCGTGGGCTTCCCTAGCTCCGCGCTCCTGAGATGGTGACGTGGGGTGGGGGTGTGGCTTCGTGCATCTCTGGGACTGAACGACGCTGCTCTCCAGGTATCAGGAGGAAGAGATGGACTCCCCTGAGAGGATCTCCCTCCCGCCTCCTCCCTACTCTGCTGCACCAGAGCCGGGTTTACACCATATATAAATTGGACGTTATATATTGAATGCCTGGGAAATCCTCCGTATGCCAGGGGATTGCAGTAGGGGGCTGGAGAGGTGGGGGAAGGGCTCGGACTGACAGTCCCTCTCCCTTTCTACCTCCACTATGGAGGGTCCATGGCCACCACTGAGGTCAAATCTCTGCCATCCTTGGGGGGCTGACTTACAGTACGGACTCTTTTGAAGGCTGATTCAGTGATTTTAATTCTGTCTTAGGGATAAGGGAGTGCTGCGAGGTTACAGAGGGGAAATTGTATGTGATTCTTGGTGCAATGCCTAGAGTCTAGGTGTAGGGAGTGGGGTTGGGGGTGCCAAGTATTGGCTTTTGAACCTGGAGGTGGACATTTGACCTTCCGCAAGGAAATGGTTCTCCTCTTTGCTTAGCATTCGTGGTGGGTGCTGTTATGTGCTTCCTTCTCCCTCTTTGCCCCATGTTGGAGGATAGTTGAGTGCTGTGGTCCTGGGGTGAGAATGATTGTGCCATGAAGTTTGTGCAACTTTAAGAAATTGGTGTGAGTGGGCCAGAGGGAATGTGTTGGTTGGAGAAGAAGATAAAGCTGAAAAATTAGCTTGAACCAGGACTTAGTCGTAGGCAGGGGAAGCCTTAGAAAGTTTTTTTAGCAGGGTCGTTACGTGATCCAAGCCAGGCTTGGGAAAGCTCCAGTGTCTTAGGGGACAAAGGGTGAATGGCCTGCAGGGACCAGGGAAGCTAGGCAGTAGCTGCAGCACTGAATGGAGGCAAGAAGGTGACAATGAGGATGGACAGGAAGAGGGACATGGAGATGGAAGAATTGGAAGATCTTAGTAGACCATAGATGAGGGGAACCACATATCTAACTTTGAGATTCTGAACCTAGGAGGGAAAGAAAAAGTTGGAGTGGGGCGGGGTGTGGTGCCTCACACCTGTAATCCCAACACTTTGAGAGGCTAATGCAGGAGGATCACTTGAATCCAGTAGTTCAAGACCAGCCTGGCCAACAAAGTAAGACGTCATCTCTACAAAAAATTAAAAAATTAGCCAGGCATGGTAGCACACTCCTGTGGGTCCAGCTACATGGGAGACTGAGGCAGGGGGATTGCTTGAGCCCAGGAAGTTGAGGCTGCAGTGGGCCACGATCTTGCTACTGCACTCCAGCCTGAGTGACAGAGTAGGACCTGTCTCAAAACAAAAACAAAAAACAAGTTGGAGTGCGGAGAGACGTTGGCAAAAATGACAACTTTGGTTTGAGACAAGTTCAGTTAGAGGAGCCAGCTGGTTGCAGATGCTGGAGTGGGCGTGATGACACTGAATTGCAGTGTGAAAGGCCTGGGGTGAGGATTTGGGGTTATCATCCACATTAACCACGAGGCCTGGCTGTGGTTTGAAGTTCAGAGCATGCACTGGCTCCTGTCCTGACGGGTAGAGCATCTCTCCCTCTGGCTCCTAAGAGTACAGCAGCTGCTGGCCTGATGCCCCAAGGCAGGAGGGAGCCCGCTGCGCCACTGCCACCACTACCACCAAGCTGCCAGCCCTTCACACCTCCTGCCAGATTTAGAATCAGAACCTAGAACAAAGTGTATCGTTCTTTTTTTTCTCTGTCTGTGTCTGTCTTTCTCATTTGATTTATTTCCTTTGCCAGTCCTTGTGTGTATGTGTACATTTTAAAACAAACCATTTGGGTGAAAGGAAGAGAGCTTTTAGTAGGAAGAATTTGGAACTCAAGGGAATGTGTAGCACCTGATAGTAGCTAGTGGTCTATGAAATCCAATTTTTTCCAACTGAAGGTAGGTCCTGGGTGTCACAAAGAGCATACCCCTGCTTCTGGGAGGCCTGCCCAGAATTAATTCTAGGAAAGAAATTAGGCCAGGCACAGCGGCTAATGCCGGTAATCCCGGTATTTTGGGAGGCTGAGACAGGAGGATGGCCTCCCAAAAAGTGAGACCCTTTCTCAAAAAAAAAAGAAGCAAGCAACCCTGATAGGTCAAACTGCAGTCAAGGATGGGACATGATGCCCATCAGAGTCCCTGTAAGCACAAGTGGCTCTGGAGTTCACCTTCCAGAGATCAGTGGCATGGGAGGCTAGAACCAGTCAAGCATCTCCTCCCTCCCTTCTTGGGTCAAGCAGACACCAGTGGTCACCCAGTTTAAAACTGGGATCTGTTAGGATCTGTGTTCCAGGTGTTAGGGATGGATTAAACCAGTCCCTCTGTACTGTCTGGTTCTTCAGCATGTGGAGTAGCCTTGATCTAGCATGACACCAACTGGACCCCAAGGGCTAGAAGCCATGGCGTTGGTCTTGTTGGTCCTATATGGTCACCCTTAAACTAAATGGCCAGGATACCTGTTGTGGGAATTGGAGGTGATGAAAGCAGGTGACCCCTCCCTGGCATTCTGGCATTTGGCCCGCTCAAGCAGGGTATAGCAGAGTCAATCCATGCCATGCACCCTCACTCCCCCGTTTCTTCCCCATGGGTCCCAGAAGTTAACAGCAGGCGGGAGACCTGAAGGTCATCAGTTCAACTCGGTATGTTCCATGTGTTCATGTCCTGTTCAAACTTCTTCTTGAGGGAGTCGTCTTTTCATATTTTGGAGATCTTGATGGTTTTCCTAAATATTTAAGTAGGTTTAAAATTTACCATAAATATTAGTCTGTTGTTACAGTATAATATCATAGTAAACATGTTTTATTTTTCTGACTGGGTGCTCACACCTGTAATCCCAACACTTTGGGAAGCCAAGGTGGGCAGATTGCTTGAGCCCAGGAGTTAAAGACCAGCCTGGGCAACAGAGCGAGACCCCATCCCTGTTTTTTAAAAGTTAAAAAAAAAATTTTGTGAAAGAAAAAAGTATTATTTTCTGTGGAATCTGTTGAGCTTTTCCTTCATGATTCCTTCCGTTGCTTCAGACCTGAGATAGTTTTCATCCCTCCTCAGATCTCATAAATATGCCCTTCTATTTCCTACTGCTTTTTCTATAATTTAAAACATCATATAACCCTGTACTCCACCTGCATCTGATTCCTATCCAGCTATGCTAGCATCACTTATTAAGTAAGCCTTCTTTATTATATTGTTTGAGAAATGTTATTTGGTAAATTTTTGTGTGTGGTTGGGTTTATTTTTTATTTCTGATTTATGCCACTGGTATTTATAATTTTGCACAGGTAATGTCCCCTTTAGTTATTGCTTTATATCTGTTCCATATGTTTCTGAAAAGCTTCCCTTTTTCGGGTTATGCTTTGATAGTCTTATTCTCAGTCCCTTCCTGAATCCCAGGGAGCTTTGATCCGAGGTCAAATATTTAGTCAAAGGCCAAATAGCGAGGCAGTGACAGATATGGGACTGGAGCCCAGTTAACCCACAAAGGGCTTCTTGGGTTGGAAAAGTCATTTCCAGGTTTACCCGTAAAAATGCCTCCAAGATCTCTGAATGTTTAATGAACAAAAGGGTTTGGAGCAGAGTTCTGTTAAGTCAACAAAGCACAATTGCTTTCAAGCTCCAAAGAACAAAAGGGAAAAGGCAAAATTGAAAGTAACTTGCTGTCTTCCTTTTTTCCTTCTCACCGGGAGCCTGTATTTCCTAGACCCCCCAAAGAGACCCCAATTTTGCTAATCTCCCAGAAGGAAAGCAGACAAGTACTATCTCACCAAAATTATAAACATAAACATGTGCTACGATGAACAGAAGGCCTGGGGCCACCGCTTCGGTGGGTTGCTGGAGGCAGAAACTTGGATTTGGAGTCAGGTAGACCTGGGTTCAAGTCTTACTCACTTTGTGATTGGAGGTAATTACATTAGCTCTCTGAGCCTCAGTTTCCTCCTCTGTAAAATGGGGACAGTAATGTTTAACTCCAGGGTGACTATGAGAATTAAATGGAAGTGGAAATTCCCTTTGCAATATCTGATTCACAGTGGACATTCAACAAATGTATCTTCATTGAGAATCAGAATTAGATTGGAGAAGCACAAGGACCACTTCTGAGATCCGGGCCCCTGTGGGGAAGGCAGCTCCTCAACAGACACTTCTGAGCCCAGAGGATTTTTCTGCTTTCTGTCTTCCAGTGTCTCCCCTTCCCAGCCCCCTGCCCTCCAGCCTGGGGCTGTTTCCTTGACCTAACTTCATTTGTAGTCCCTGCTTCAAGCTGGCTTAAGGGTGTTCTGATAAGACCCCTGAAGGGATTAGCAAAGAGCTGCAGAGAAAACACCTGCCCCAGAGACAGGGTGTTGGCCACCCCCAGAACTCACAATTAGCCAACACAGCAGGGTTGCCAGAGAGGAACAAAGGCACAGGCTAAACTGGAGCCCTTGGGCTCTGCACCCCCAACTCCTTATCAGGTGGCCTCTCGACCCTTGAGGCTGTGGACTCCTCTCCACCACAGAGCCTGCTTCTCTACCGTGCTCCTGCCCCAGTGACCCCATCAGCTATACTGACATTAACCCTTTTATTCCCGACCACTCACAGAAATGCATTTGATTGCTTTGGGCAACAGGGCGGAGGGATCCGAGATTGAACGTGGCCTGGCTGCCTTCCTGACACATAATAGATACACACGTTTGAGCGAATGACAGGTTGAGCTACACCTCTGCATGCATTGTCTTGGGTTAAAATATCGTCTCTAGGAGCAGGCCCTGACTGTGCGGCTACGACACTCATGGCAGCCCCTCTGCCACCGTATGGCTGCTGCCACCTCAAGGAATATAAGTTATTAGAAGGTTGATGGAGTCATCCTGTCCAGTCTGCTCATTTTGTTC